TGATATTATGCTTTTTATCATCCACTTCCTCTCAACTCTTCCTTCACAATCGTTATCTAATAACCGATCATTGTGATCTTATACTTCGGAGTACAACTATACCGTACTTAGTCTGCAGTTTCCAATGAATAAAATAATAGGTCACGCAAAAATTATTTAAAAAGTACAGTCTCCATATTTAAAAAACAAGTAATCATAACTATTTATTGTTACTAAGAAATTAAAACTTTTATATTATCTATAATTGCACTTATCTTTTTTATTATATATTCTTTTATAAACTTTTATGAATAATCATAATTAATGTTTTCAGAAAAAGATTTTAATTGTAATGATTGAATTGAATTTCATAGTGTTATTATACCAACATGATACCGCGCTGTACTGTATTGTACTATCTAAATTCTATTACTATACTATACTTTAGATTTCTGGACTGTGCTAAATAATACTATATTGTTTGTATATATCTACATCCTGCAAAACTATATTATACTTTAGTTTATTATAATATAATGTGTTATATTATTTTGTACTGTAATTCGATGTACTATTTTGTATATTTATATAATTATAATACTGTGCATAATTATGCTTGATTGTAATATACTGTCATTCTTTGCTATACTTTACAAAACTATAGTATATTGTAATGTTTTTCACTATAGTATATATATTTATTATACAGTAAAATACCACAATATATTACATAACATTACTATAACATATTGTACTAGAATTCGGAATTAAAATATTTATAATTAAAATATTGTGCTGTATTTATCTATATTCCTTCACGTGCAATCAATACTGGATTACTGTATTAACCTACATAATCCTGTATTATATTGCATTATTTATTATATACTATATCATTATTATATTATATTATTTACGGTATTAGATACATAGCAATACATATTTAATATGTAAATCAAAAAAATGTCCGGTATTATAAAAAACCTTTGAAAAGAAATATAAATAAAATTTAGTTTTAGTCTTCATTGAATTTGTTAAAATTTTTATATTGAAAAATAAAATATAGAGCAGTTTAAAAATATTTTTTAAATATTTGGAATTTAAAACTAGAACTTTTAATATATTTTTTAACTTACTGTATTTTGAAAAATACAAATTTTTTATTAAAAATTTTTGTTAATATTATTATTAACATATTTATATGGCATAAATATAAAAAAATCGAAATATTGCAGAAATTTTATTTGGATTTAAGTATAAACCCGATCAACACAAATCTATTTAAAAATATTCCAATTTTGCTAATGCCACATAAATTAATCAGTCAAAATTTAATAAATTATTTGTTAGAATACTTTACATATCTATATTCTTATTATTATATACACGTTTATTAGACAAAATATTATAAAATTTATTATATTATATTTCATAATAAATCTGTTCATACTTTATCTTGAATTATTTATGTAAATGGAATAAATTATCAATAATATAATACAATTAACAAAAAATTTTAATATTGAAAAATAATTGTTTTATTTTATTTATTCATTTATTTCTTTTTGTTTGTCAAAAATGTAATACTTAAAGGGGAGAGAAAATATATACAAAAAAAAAATTATAATACTAATGTATAAATCTAGAAAAAAGTATATAACCTTGTCAAGTATTTTTTCCTAATAATTTTATATTGTCAAATTTATTTTAATTAAATGGAATGTTTAATTTGAATTATTTTACTATTGCATACGCAATAACCATACTAATGTATGATACATTATTTCACTATCTGATATATTATACTATAGTACTTATTATATATTTTAAGATTTATAGATTTATTATAAAAATGGAAAAGAAAAAATAATCGAAAATCAATATGTTATTGATTATAATGTTATAAACTAAGGCGAGAATCAAGATTGACTCAAGCATAGGAGAAAAACATTTGCATGCCTATAATAAATGTTGCTTGAAAATGACATCAGTTAATCTATGAGTTTTAGACTTAAACAAATAAATTCTTAATTTCTTGTACATTTAAATAATTGGTACACCTAAATAGTTTATTTAAATGTCGTCATTAATGATTTCAATAACCTATAATCATATTGGACGTATCGGAGTATACCTACATACAAAAAAAATGTAAAATAGAGAATATGAAGGGAAAATTCATTATTAAAAAAAATTCACATTCTGTACTAAATGTTAAATTCTAGTGTTGTATCAGTACGCGCTGTATAATTAATCAAAATACTAATTAAATAATGATTATACATAAAATACATTTGTAAAATAGGTAGAAGAAATTTTTATTTAATTTATTACTATAGTCTTTACTATTTACTTTTAAATAGTATGTTGAGAATGTTTTAGTATTAATATCTATTAGTATAAAAGAATTTATGAAATAGAAAAATATATCACTATATACTGTATTAACATGTGTCTTCATTCTTAAATAAAGTTTTGTAATTCTAATTATAAAAAACAAAAGAATTGTACATACAGGAGTATGTAAAAAACAAAGAAAAGTAGATATAATAGCCTAATAAATAGATCTAAACAAAATTCTTGTAATTTAATATGACATAATAATAAGTTATAACTTATTTAAAGAAAAATAATATAATTTAAACAATTATGTATATGAATATATTACTCAATAATTTTTTTGTAGACTCTTATCGATGTTTTGAAATAACTCACTTTACGTATAAATAAGATATTAAAGTTTCTGGAAATAAATTGCATTGCATTATATTGTATGTTATTTTTATAATTATTTATGAATGTTTATCATTTATTAATAAAAATTTTAGTTTACTTCAAGGTTAACTAAGTACTCATAAAAAATAGTATTAATAATTTTAATATTAAAGTAAAATACCAATCAATTGTTAAAGATAATACCTTTTCAATTTAATTACGTACTAAACAATTTATATTAATATATATCAAATACATTATTTCTTTATAACAAAATAAATATATTACCAGTGAATTAAAATACGTAACATACAGAAAATATGGTTTCAGATTATTTACATTCTTACCCCAATTTATACTCTTACTTGTAAGTTCTAATTTTCAGAGTGACCTTCCAAAATATATATATAAAATGCATACATTTATGAATATATATAGTGATTAGTTCATTCAATAATAAAATATATTTTTTAAATGAACTTGTATAGATTTTAATAAATACCTAATGTTTGTATTTTTGGGATAAATTATGTAAACCTATAGCTAAGAATATATGATTTTTCCATTTTTAATAAAAAGCAGTTTCTTTAGATAATATTGGATTGTTTTTTTTCTTTACTAATTTTTTTTGTATGGTCTGTTACGTTTATGTACTTTTTTTATAATTCTCTGAATATATGTTCTAATAATTTTTTCTTTTCTTTTTATTTCATTTTTACTTACTTTATACAATTTATATAGGTATTTTAAAAATATTATTATAGAAGTTTATTATATAGGCTTACACTATATATAATAAATATCAATATTATAATTTTATCTTAACATATTTATATCTTTTATCTATTAATTCAACGTCGTGCTTATTTTATGAAGGCCCATATGCCTTTTTGAAACATACTCCTGCACGAATAGTGAAGATTTTAGTTATCTATTTTTTCAATCGTTATTTCTGGTATCCATGTTTCAGTATATTACTACTTTTTGATGTTTTTAAGAAACCACCTGTTAACGATATCATTCTTCAACAAATGTTCTCTTATATTAAGATGTCCAAGTTCATTAATGACAAGTATATTCAACCTTAATGCTGTCAAATATGTTATTTCTCTTTATGATCATTTCATTATCCTGCTCCTTAAATTATTCACTTCCAATCCATTATTTGAATTTTATAAAAATAGTAAATTAAGTTCTTAACGAAAGCATTTTCTTCCCTTATATAATAATTTTCTACAAGGTCTCCCAATATATGTATATATGTATATATATATATGTTAGGAATACATATATTTATACTCTTAATAATATTTATTAATTTATAGTATATACTACATGAAGTTTATTAATCAACCTAGACCTCAACATTTACATAAATAAAAGATCTGTTTACTGATTATTTAAGTTAATGATACTTTTAATTATTTTAATGATGCAATAATTAATATAAAAAAATTCACGAATGACACAAAAGTAAAAGAACTAGAAATTATTACATTAATATTATCTAATTCAACTTCTTAAATTCATTTGTCTCATTAATTTTTAATCAATTTGTAATAAAAATAATAAATTACGGTGTTAAAAAGTTCTTCAGTAACCCAAAATTAGTACTTATGTATACATTCTATTTAGTGAATAATAGTAGCACTATTTCCTAATAGTAATTAAAATAATATATAGAAATTCTTTTATATTATTTTTAGAAAAAGCGAATAGTGCCTCTGTGTGAAGAATGCGGAACTCAGATCTAAACATATTTATTAGCTCTCCAAAAATTCTCAGTAGGTAATAAAAAGTAATAAGAACGGTATAAATAAATAAAACGATAATTCTATGGATTATAATCTTTAAACAAAAAAATATAACAGTGTCATTATTTTTCACTAAAAAATTTGGTTTTATTTATACTAAATTTATTATAATATAAATTTCAACCATTTACATAAATTGTTTTGCAGATAAAAATAAAAACATTAAAATTTCAAATATTTACATACACAAATATGATTTTAATTTAATTTTAATTCAGAAATATATAAAATAATATATTTTTTAACTATTTTTTAAAGTACAGAGCTATAATTATTTTAAGTTCACTATTTTCAATAAATATAAAAATATAAATATTATTACTTATTTAGATTTTTGTAAAATTTCATATTGAATATTCGCAAACATGTGCAAACCAATAAATTTCGATCTTCATTACGCATGACCCAAATTGATATACTCTAATTTTCTTAATTTTTAATAGTTTCTTTTTGGCCGCTTCCGTGGCCTGATTCTAGATGAAATTAAATTTATGATGGTTCAATGAGTATTTTATTAAAAATATATTTAATAAATAATTAGAAACATAATCAATTACTGAATTTATGAAGTGTATTATTCTGTATAAATGGCAGATATTTCATATAAATTAAAAACAATTCATAATAAAATTCTTGCAGCCTCAGCTGTACGGTCATTGGTAATTAATAATTTATGATTATTTTTTAAGGTCAATACCTCCATTTACATATGCACATCAATATTAATATCTATATATTTTTAAGGAAGATCAGTGTATTCAACCACATCTTATAGCAGTAAGCAAACATCAACCTATCGAAGCAATAATTACTGCTTATGAGGTTGGTCAAAGACATTTTGGAGAAAATTATATAAATGAATTATCAAAAAAAGCTAATAGTAATAAAATCTTGGAAAAATGTTTAGATATTAAGTGGCATTTAATTGGACATGTTCAAACCAATAATATAAATAAACTTTTAAAAGTTCCAAATCTTGATGTAATTGAAACGGTTAATTCTGAAAAAATTGCAATTGCACTTAATAATGCTTGGGAAAAGTTTCGAAAAATTGAGAATTCCAAATTAAAAATAATGATTCAAGTTAATACTAGTAAAGAATTAGGTTTGTTAAAAAAAGGTTCCAATATTCAAATAGAAAAAATAAAATTTCTATTTATTATAATTAATAAGAATTTCTTTTTTTTTTAGCTAAAAGTGGTTGTGATATCAATAATGTATCATCTGTGGTTAAATATATATTAGATAAATGTCCTTGTTTACAATTTTTAGGATTGATGACAATTGGTAAATTTGGTTATGATTTATCTAAAGGACCAAATCCAGATTTTCTGACTTTAAAGAAATGCAAAGATAAAATTTGTGATGAATTGAGTATACATCCAAGACATGTTAAATTGTCTATGGGAATGTCTGCAGATTTTGAACATGCTGTAAGTTTTAATAATTCATATTTAATTGGGAAGTATCTTATCACAATGAAAATAAAATATTTATTTAATCTATCTTCTCACATTAAAATAAGTAAAGAGCTAGCAAATATATTAAAAATAATGAAAATCTTTTAGATTGAAATTGGTAGTTCTTATATAAGAGTTGGAACTGCTATTTTTGGAGAAAGACCAGCAACTACTACAAACTAAAGAAGGCTATTATAGAAAATGAAAATATTTTTAAAATAAATTACTATAAAGGCATATGTGTACCAATAAAAAAATATTAATATGTTTATAATAAAAAATTTATACTTTACTTTATAAAAGCTAAGAACCACTGTCAAAAGTA